AATTGGAGTTGCCCTCACTACACCCGTCCTCAGCGCCAGATGGCACAGTTGCAGCTTGTACGTCGAGCACAGAACGCTGCAACAGCTCGATACCCCAGTCTCGTCAAATGACCGTCCCTGCGCAACACTCATTTGAGCTGGCACATCCATTGGTGCAGCTTCGCCCAAGCGTGGCAGGTTCATTATGCGCAGGGCACCTCACCGGCTCAACCTGTCGCAAGACTGAATCGATGTCACTGGCTGCTCAGTTGGTTCGGCCAGCTGCAGACCGTTCAACGAGCTCAACGGGCACTATCAGCCCTTCACATTATGCATCCCGTCTGTCGAGTGCCACGCACCTTGACGGTTCGACACAGCTCGTAGTGGATCCGGCGCTTCCAACCATCCAGATGGACCAACCATCTGTTCCTTCACAACATTCACCCGAGCCATCACACATACATGAATTGCTCCGTCCAGATGTGTCCCATCTGTTGAGTGTAACACACCTTGACGGTTCAATGCATCGCGTGGCTGCATCATCGCCTCCGATCGTGCAGTCAGACCAGCTAGCAGCCTTATGGCAGGGTTTGCTTGAGCGGGCATGCCCGTTAGTACAACTTCGTCAAGTTGTGGCATATGCACCAAGCGCGAGGCGCTTCGCTAGCCCAATCTGTCGCAAGGTCGAACTGGCATCACTTGCTAATCAGTTGGATCGACCAGCTGTCTCATCGCTTAGACCAATGTTCCCGTTCAGGCATTGTCCAGTTGCGGACCGTCCAATAAGCGTGACAGAATCCATTGGCCCTTCACATCGCCAGGTTGAACCGTTGTCCTTGTCGGTTCAGTCAAACCTCCCGATTGATGCGTCCTGCACATCAAGCGCAACAAACCTTGCCAGTTCGACACGGTACATAGCGGAATCTAGGTCCCTGACTATCCAGATGGACCGACTGTCTGATCTTGCGCAGCACCCACTGGGGCCACGTTCATCAGAGCTGTTGGGTTCCATTACTGGTCCCTCACGGTGTCTGCCTGAGCCAATACACTCAGATGAGCTGCATTGCTTAGTCATGGCCTGGTCATTGAGCACGGTACACATCTCCAGCTTGACGCATCACACGGTGTTTAAGTGCCCAACTGTCCAGTTGGATCACCCAGCTACACCCTCGTGGCACCCACACAACTTGGCATGCTCAGACGTGCCATCAAGCTCAATTTCCACCTCAACTGCAACGTACGCGGTCAGGTTGATGTGTCATATGGGTGAGCCGATACCATTGTCAATCCAGCTGGGATCTCCAACCGGCCCTTCACAGCATCCACCCGAGCGGACACATTCCGACGAGTCGCTTCGCTCAGCCACAGCCTGTTGGGCAGATCAACTGGCTGTTTCTTTGCAGCGCTCAGTTGTGGATCATTTGTCAAACACAACACACTCCTTCAGCTCAACACTTCCGTCCTCATTTGGACAGCATCGCTCAGCTACAAGCCGTTCAGCAAGCACGACAGATGTGTCCTGCCCATCGAGCGCGACTCACTCCACTAGCTCGATGCACTACTCGACTGAATTGTCATCTTTGCTTGTTCAATCGGGTCGACTAGCTGGTTCATCGAAGCTGGAGTGCCCGGCTGTCCCAATGCAGTGCTCCCCAGAGCTGGCATGCCTGAATGAGTCAAATCGCTCAGATGCCATCCAATCATTGACTAAGATGCACTCAGCCAGTTCGGTGCCTACCATGGCCAGACTAAAATCACTGTCTGACCAGTGGGGTTACATTATTGGTTCTTCATGGTGCCTGTCCAATCCGACACATTCAGACCACCCACCCGAACTGGCGGTTTCGAACGAGCCAGGCAGCCCAGTCTCCACTGGCTTATCAGCCGCGACACACACCATCAAGTTGAGGCACTGCCCCGCCAACCAGGCATTGCTACCTGTCCTGCCTGAACCTCTGGTCGTGCCTCCACATCACCCTCGTGATTCAGAACGCGCCATGACATGTCTTGTTGTCAAATTGATGCCGCCGACTACCCAATCGGATCCACCAGCCATGTCCTCGCATTGCCTCCTCGAACCATCGTGCTCGCATGTGTTGGTTTGCCCAGTGGCAATCTGTCAAGCAGTCATCCCTATGCGGCACGCACTTGAGCTAGCACAACTGATCGAGCAGTTTCGTCCAGTCATGGCCCATTCATCAAGGGCGATGCTCACCTCTAATTCGTCACGTTGCTTAGTCGAACCAAAGTTAACTGGACTACCGGATCGCCTGGTCACATCTTCGTGGAACCCACATGAGTCGCATGGCTCGGATGTGACCTCTCCATCGAGTAGGACGCACTACATCAGTCCAGCATGCCATGCCGTCAATTCGATGTTATCGCTAGCTCTATGCTATGCAATCAAGCTGGCGCCCTCGCAGGCCCAGCCAGTCCCTGTGAATGTTGTTCCGCACCGTACTCCCAAGTCGTCAATTTCCTTAGCTGATGACCTGCCGAGTGTGAGGCTCCTTATCAACCCATCACTCTTGCCTGTTCCGTTAGGCCTTCCGGCAGCTTATTTACATCGTCCTCATGAGCTGGGACACTGGTATGATCTGCACCATCCAGCCAGCGCTGAATCGTCAATTGTGACAAATTACATCGGTTCGACGGGTCAAGCAATCGCATATTCAGCACGCATTAATGTTCAGGCTCTCAACAAAGTTCTCAGCTGCGAAGTCAACGTGCGTAACCCCCAGCGGGGCGGAACTCGGATTATGACACTAAGGTGGTCAGATTATGTTGCTGATGCCAAGGACAGCCATTCCCCAATTACCTCGCCCATTGACGGTTGGATCCACGAACTGCTGTCTTTGCCGGCCTGGTTGGATCCTCTGGCGAACCCTCCACATCATCCATCGATTGAACCAATGTCGTTGCCAGATCAGCTGGTCATCCTTTCGCGCTCCACGCATGAGCCTGCGTGCCTGCATGTGCTGTGTCACCTTCCAGCAGCACATACACCAACCACGACATGCTCTATCGACCTGGCACACTTTGCAACTAAACTGATGTCATCGCAGGACCAATTGGATCTCCCAGCCTTTCCCATATGTCGACCTCTCAAGTTGGCGTGCCCGAACGGACCACCAGGTGATCCGACTCTCAACAAAGGTCCCGGCCACGAGATCGGCATGTCTAACCTCCGGCTGGGTGGAATTCAGATTGGGCATAGGAACGGGATTCTTCAGTGGTCCGCATCGAGTAATCCTGAGAGAACAACAAGGGTATCAATGTGGCTTGGTTGCGACCCCAACATTGGTGGCGGTCGTCCCCCAGTTACCTTACCCAGCAGCGGTTGGAATCGCGAACTGATGCCCTTGTCTAACCAATCAAACCGTCCAGTCACCCCTTTGCATCCCTCATTTGTGATAGCATGCTGGCATGTGCCGCACCGCTTAGCAGTGGCACATTCACCAATCATAACGCACCCTAGTGGTCCAATGTGTCAAAGGACCACGCGATCCGTTGGCACTGATGCGTACCGTATTTATCCTGGTCACCATCCCACTCAGGTCGAAGGACAGTCTATCATCCTCATTAGGGTCCCGACACTTGACAAGAATCCCAACTGCAGAACCCATGCGATTAACTCTGTTATAGGAATGGACCAGAATCTTATGGTCCATGGTTACAAGCAAGTAGAACCAGGTATGCCTCCTTATTGTTTTCCCCTATTTCTCTACCCAAACCCCATGCCAAGCTTTCCCACTGGGTTTTGGTGCTGGCTGGGGGAATTGTTGAATTTCAAGGGACTTCCCTTGACCATTACAACTTTTATATTAGATATAAACTAGTCATATGACATGTAAAGGCAAATGCCGAAAGAGGTTTTCTTCATCTAATACATAACCCACAAAACCTTGTACCGCAATTGTAACTGCCACACCATTGTGCCACCACTGTAAGCCTTCTCTGTAACATCTGAATTGGTCCATATCGATGTCTACATCGATATTCTTACAATCTGTGAGAAAACCTCATCGGCCCGGTGAGTGCTCAGACACCGGACCTCACTCTTCCCGCTCCCACCCCCCCACTGGGTGGTTGAGCTCCTATTCCTATCCTTCCTGTAGTACCCTACTGGGTCCTACAACCCTTCCTCCCTTCTTGGGAGGGAGAAGTGACCCAGGCAGCCCCAGGATGCCTGGCCACGTACCCGCAGGCCCAAATTCCCACGGTCACTCACTACCGTGCACTGGTCAACCAACCTGTCTGTCCCGACAAATCCTGCTACCGGTACGCTCCCTTGAGCGCCAAGTAACCGATAGACAACCACTGGGCTACTCCCTCAAGGAGTGCCAACCACCCACGCTACCGGTACGCTCACATGAGCGCCAAGTCACCGCTAGCCAACTGTTAGATGGCTCCCTCAAGGAGTCCCCATTATACCCGCTGCCGGTACGCTCCTTGGAGCGCCAAGTTGCCGCTAGCCAACTGTCAGGTGGCTCCCTCAAGGAGCCCCCGTTATACCCGCTGCCGGTACGCTCCTCGGAGCACCAAGTTACCGTTAGTACACCCGGTCTCAAATCTCCTGCTCTCCCTTCAACGGCTATGCAGCCACCTCTGTCCGTGAGCAGAACGGCTCAGGTTGGGTTCCCCGGAACCCATTCCCGTAACAAACTCCCATCTGGGTGGAACCCAGATTATGATGCTAACGCGGCTATGCCCTGCCTCTTACATCAAGAGCAGTCATCTCTCAATCACCTCGCTCATCGACGGTTGGGATCCGTTCCTCCAGCTGGACCCTCTGGTCGATTCTTCGCGCCGTATCATCCAGCTGGCACGCCTGTGCGTACCAGATCGCTCAGGGGCAGGCGAACTATCAAGTGCGATGTACACCGTTAGCTTGACGAGTCTTGTGGCCGGATCGACGTTTTTACTTGCCCAGATGGATCGCCCAGTTGCTCTTTCTTCTGGTTCTCTCAAGCCCGAGTGCTCGTGTCCTCCACATCGTACAGTCGTGGTTGGACGGTCGATTAAGGCGGGCTCTCCGTCCGTTCCCACTCACTCCTTTCTCGAGTCAGCTCCCATGCGGTCGTCTCTCCACTCAGTGGCAACACAATCGATAGTCGTGACCCGGTTGATGTCCTCTCACAACTGGTCGGATCCTCCAGTTGTCCCTGCTTGTCGACTTCTTGGGCTAGCACGCCTGCATGGGCTATGTTGTCCGTCATTAGTCCATCTACCGGACTCGGTGCATTCCACCGGGACGATGTGGCAGGCGTCTGAATCAGCATCCCCGCATGTTCACTCAGATCCTCCCGCTGAGACAGGGCACCACCCTCCTGAGCTGGCGCGACCGTACAGCCTGCCTGTGGCTTGTACGCCATTGGCAATGCGACCTGTCAGTTCAGCACAACACACGGTCAGATCACCCTTGCACGATCAATCGGATCCATTGGTAGTACCCGTCTGCTGTCCTCTGGAATCGGCGGGTAATTTGATTCGCCACACGTTTGAGCCGACACCCTCGTTTGATCCGTCAGACACTTTGACCGTTCCTGCGCGTCATTTCTCTGAGCAATCACATTCACAAGCGTGGACACAGCCAGAGCCTGAGCTGTCGCGCATAGGGTCACTCCAGGCCCAACTGCCCAGGTTATGTGTCGGATCTCCCAAATGGATATACGCCACAACATCGTGCTTGGAAATGGCAGGTACAACACGAGCGCCGTCATGGCACCACCCTCGTGAGATGCTGTACCCGCCGCATATGGTATACCTCACCTCAAAGACATGGCGGTGGTCATCATACGCGGCACACCCAGCTGCCAAGTTCTGCCGCTTGAAAATCTGTCGTGCCAAACCGAAGGTGTTCCTCACTGCAATACAGGTTCTCGTCCAGACCGTAATCATGGTTAGTTACTTGCCGGGTCCGACCAAGGATGAACCTAGGAAGAGCTTCTACGCCCCATTGTTGGTCTCAGGTCGTCCCGAGCCTGGCGACTTACATGTTGCACGGAGCTGTGCGAACGTGAGGTCAAGATCATTTATATGGCATTATAAGATCGGCAACGGTAATATCCTGATACAAGTTGTCCCTTTCCCCGCTGGCAGACTAAGTACTACTCTGCATTGCCGCGCGAGCAGGAGCCCCGGTAGAGAAACCGTCGCCTTGGCTCACAGAGGCACGCAGTGGCATCTTTTACAGGTCAACTGCCTATTTATCTCTGCGTCCTCAATCGCCCCTGAGTCCACAGCCGCATCGTCAGATCAGTCGAATCCGATTGTCCTACTGCACCCTCTAGGATGGTCTCATCATCTGATCAAACGGGAGAACTCGCTTCACAACCTGGCCCCTTCTGACTTCCGAGTATCACGCTGTGCGGTTGTTCCATCTCGACTGACTCCCGAACCCACACAATCCTCCCGTGTCCTTGCACACTCACCCTCCGTTCAGTCGCGTCAGCCCAGTGCAGGTGGAGAGAAGTCAAGCCCCCAAGGTTTGATAACTGGGCATCCAGAAAACCATTTCCTCTGCCAGAGGACCGCCCCAAGTGAGACTTGCATTAGACAAGCCTTCAGCGACGCCCTGTCATGGCACCCGTTAAAGGCAAAGGAGGAAAGATTCAGCTTGGGGTTAGAAGTACTAACCAGACATGTCTCCCTTTCCTTCCCTCCAAGCTATCTCTGAGGCCCTTGGTCTCCGCCTCAGCCCCATATTGGGCCGATGCCGGAAGGAAGAGGCGCGCGCGTCCAGCGAATCTATTTACTGTTATTTGTTTCGAAATTCCCGATCCCTGTTCTCTTAGCGCCTCTTAGCACTCCCTCTCTGCACTCATTCCCAACGCTTGAAGGCAGCCATGGCTGATCGAAATTCGCTGGGTAGCATCAGCGATTGGGATGGGAGTTAGAGCTCGCAGCGTGGTCCAGTTGTATCGGAGTCTACGATTACGATTCTCGACGGTGACCTCCATGTTTCTGGTCGCGGAGGGGAACTACCTGCACCTTCGACTGACCTCAGCTCAGTTGGCTACCCTCAATCCGCCGACCAAATGCTACTCTCTATCTGGATCCAGTACCAGCAGTCTCGGCTTGTTTTTACGTTGCAGTCTCAATGACGACCAGAATCATCGAGTTCCAAACCATCAGTCGTCACCCTCCCATGGAGGCTAACCCCCCATACCGTACGCGTATCTTCGCACCCAACCTGGTCGTTGCCAAGCCTTCTTGGCGGTGCGGTTCCGTGCTCGATTTCACCAGGCATCCCTAACCCAACCACTCGACACCGCCTGTCTCTCCCGGCATTGGAGGCTGTCAACTTCCCGTCCCAATGCCAGCGCGATTGGCACTAAGCTTTCTGATTCCACCATTCCCGTCAAAGTCGACATATGCCCAGGCTCACTTGCGAGCTGTAGCACGATACTTACAAGGTTATGCGCCGACAGAGAGAGACACACGCACCGCTACAGTTTGGAGCTTCGGGTCAGGGAACACCCTCAATGCGTTGCCTACCCGAAGCGATCTCCGGAAAGGATTGACTGCACCCGCCATTGTCGTCTACCGACTCACGGCGCCTGAACATGCCACTATGTCCCCGCGCCAGCTTGGTCGCCTTATCGAGACGTGGTACCTGCGGATGGCTGGCACCATTCAATCAGGTTTCGAATTGCGCCTGGGACGTTTCCTCTGGCCGCTACAGGGGCCTTTCAGGTTGTCGATCGCACCCAACGCCAGTAACAGCCGCAGAGGGCACGAGTACGTACGACGTGAACCTTCTGCATCCTTGCACTCGCATCAACGGCACTACCGCCAACGACGATCTATCGGTTTAAGTGCAGAGTGGAGGGGACTTCCCACGTCCAAAGCTACAGGCTTGACCTGCCAAGTTGGTGACCATCGCAAATGAAGACCCGGACCGGTTCAGAGGGCCTTACTCATCCATGAGGGACGATGCTGTAGCCTGAATCATCCTAGTTGCCACCAGGGGATGGTACCTCGAAGCTGAAATCGAGGTTAGCGCTCTGAGCTCATCTAGAACACCCATCAGCGCACACGAATTCGAAACATCCATTCCAGTACACCAAGGCTACATCGTTACCCTGTGCGGAAGTTTCCCACCTAGCAGCACCAAGCCGATCATTCACCCTTGGAGGGGTCCACCGCAAGATGTGTTACGAAATCAGACTGTCCCGTGACGATTTCCAGAGTGAACCCCTCTCGCCAAATGGATGATACTGGCACTTCTCTATGTGGCTAGGCCTAACTCATATGCGGGCCGGGTGAGGAGGTGAATGACCCAGGTTTCCAATCATGCGGGGACTGCCTCCGAGCCATTGTGTTTGGGAATGGCGTTGCTGTTGGTCCTATCATAGCAGGGCGATTATGACGAGTGTACCCCACCTGCCAAATGATCCCAGACACCCCCAACATCTCCCGAAAGGGTGGACCCCTGAGATGCAACACCACCGGCAGCTAGACTGATCCGGTTGTTAAGCGGTCCGGTAGACTCACCGTATCTGACCAACATCCATATTAATCCTAACACAATCCTGCGTGATGGAGGGGAATTACTGCATGGAAGCAGGATGCGCTGCATTTCCGGACCGAGTTGTCAAGCTGGACCACAGATGGATGATGTGACTCTTGGACACATGGTTTTCCATATCTATCCTAATATGATATCATGGTGCCCAAGCCAATCGTTGGACTGGAGCTAGAGGAAGCCTAGGACCACGCTTACAAGGATGGTCTTTGACTACCATTCCCAGACTAAGGGCTGCCAGCTTGCACGACATGCAACAATCATGTGGGCCAGGTCCGGGCCTCCGACTCACCACCCCCATCACCTGTTCCTCAGCACTGGGAATCAGGACTCTTGGAGGATTAACATGGCTGTCACACTGGCCCATAAGAGTCTGGGGGGTGATGTTATAGGAATGGACCTAGAATCTTATGGTCCGTGACTATGAACAATCAAACCTTTGGTCCCTGCACCTTTATTTTGCTGTCAAACCCCATGCCAAGCTTTCCCACTGGGTTTTGGTGCTGGCTGGGGAACTTGTTGAGTTTCAAGGGACTTCCCTTGACCATTGTGACTTTTATATTAGATAGTTAGAAGTCATATGATGTGTAAGGCAGATGCCAAAAGATGTTTTCTCATTATCAAATGCATAACCCAAAAACCTTGTACCGCGATTGTAACATCCTCACCATTGTGCCACCACTGTAAACTCAACCTGTAACCCTGGAACCATGTCCACCTCCCTATTCCTCCTCTCCATGACAAAACCACAACGAGGAGGGCATTCCCATGCCCAACCTCCTGCTGTCCACTCCCACCAGTCCACCAGGTGGTCGAGTGGTTACTCCCATCCAACCAGAAGTTCCCTATCAGGAACTGTAGCCTATCCCACCTCCTCAGGAGAAGGATACGGTCCAGGCAGCTCCAGGATGCCTGGCCACGCACCCGCGGGTCCCACTTCCCACGGTCACCCACTACCGTGCACTGGTCCACCAGCCCACTTTCCCCAACAGCTCCCACTACCGGTATGCTCCCATGAGTGCCAAGTCACCACTAGCCAGACACTCCCAGCACACCTGCTACCGGCACGCTCCCAGGAGCGCCAAGTCCCCGTTAGCAGACAGCCAGGTGGCTCCCTCAAGGAGCCCACATCATACTCGCTACCGGTACGCTCCCAGGAGCGCCAAGTTACCGTTGGCCGACACACAGGTTGTACTCCCATACCCTCATCCTATTCTGCTCTCCCTCCGATGGCTATGCAGCCACCTCCATTAGTGAGCCAAACAGCTCAGGTTGGGTTCCCCGGAACCCATTCCTGTAACACTTTTGGCGGAGTGGAGATTTCTGCAATTGTTACTTGCGGTTCCTCGCATACAGTATTGTGTGCGGGGCCTCGAGTTGGGGGAAGGTGTTTTCATGGGTGCCTCGATGGCATATTACCATGTCACTTTCCCCTTTTCTCAAGGGTGGAGTCATTGCCCTGGAGGAGGGTTTTCCTCCGGGTTGTTCATCTGGACATCTGATTGCTGCGTCGGATGCGATGACATAGCCTGGGCTACATTGTCAGGCTGTGGGCTTGACGAAGTGGGCGCTCCCTGGGTGGGAGCGGGTTGTTGTGTTCCTGAGCTACTTGGCTCAGGTGTGGAGTACGGTAGGTCTACCGTTCTTCCTGTGGGGAAGGGTGGTCGTTGGGCTGGTTGTCCAGCACGGAGACTTGCGTCTTTTTCCCGGTATTTGGAAGCTTTCGCTTCCCGTTCCGCAGTTCTTGCAGCACGTTCCTCAGGAGTCCTGAGTGGTTTGAACTGGGACTTTAGATAGGCAGCTTTGCCTAGGCTTTCCCAGGAGATTTTCCCTTATTCTCCGGGGAATTATACTCCTCTGCGAGTCTTGCAATACTTGGGAGTCCCAAGAAGTATTTCTCGGTTTCCTTCGCTTTATCGCAAAGGGTTCTGTGTACCTTGCTGCTTTTGAAGGCGGCTTCAGCCTGTTTGTACCAGTGTACAAATTCTTTCCCACTCATGCTTGTCCACCAAGCGTATGCGGCATTGTGCGCTGTAGGCGGGCACAGCTGGTACTGCACAAACGAACCGAATATCACGATTTCCCCACCCCTGCACATCTGCACTTCACTAAACACGTCGTACACATCCTCGTATACTATTCCTACCCTTCCATGATTTTTCCCTATTTTTTCAGACACGTTCCCGGTCCCCACAGACCAAATTCCCACACCCACCCAGCAGTGCGGCCACACTCAGACTGGATTTCACTTATCTCAGCAACCACTGCACCGATTTGGGCGATATTGGTACCGTTGGAAACGCGTCATTTAGGAGTATTAGGATCCATGATTAGCGGGAGTTCATTGGCGATGGATAGAGTTGGGTATTTT